AAAAGAATCATTTACAAAACAACTTAATTCAAAGTGCTGGTTAAAAGATAAAAAAGATGCTGAATTAGTCAACTGGTATATGGCAGTCACACTACTTTCCTAAAAAGTAAATCAAATTGTATTTCTAAACCCTGTTATTCACCTGGTACTACCGGCCTATTGCCATTTTGGAACTTTCTAGCTTCATACAGATGAATACAAAGCCACACAGCAGGAAAACACAGAAAAAATTAGAATATTAAAAATGAAATAGCTATGTGCAGCATGGAGCTGTTTTTTTGTTTTGTTTTATTTTGTTTTATAGCTACTGGTGATTTTCTTCTTCTTTTTTTAATTTTTTTTTAAACCAAAGAAATTCTCTTGAGGGACATTTGTGGAAGAAGCCATGCATTTTGAGATACAAGTGAAATGATGTATCCTTTAGACATAGGTCTTCCCATAATGTGCACAAGAGAAGCCTGTCTTCTTGCTGCGTTTAATACATTCTGTCCTCCTTAGGAAACTTCTGATGATAACAACTGGAGGCATTTGTGCTACTGCCTTAAATCTCACCATCTCTAGATTACTAAAAATAAATTGGATTAAGTTGTGAACAAATAGTATTTTTTGAAACTCTCTTCAGAATGGAGTATTGCTCTAGAGTACTAAGAAAATAAAAGAGGGTTACTGGTATGTTTCTGTCTGTCTAGGAATCTGGTTTCAACCTGGAGTCCTTTATAATAAACCACTAGGGAAAACTCTCCTGGGAAAAAAACATCTATGAGCTTAGGTTTAAAGAAACAATGTTTGGCCTTTGTTTTTTCCTTGTTGAGCTGCAAAATATCAAAGGACATTAAGGCATTTTATGAAACTTGGTTTAAAATACTGGTGATAGATTTTTCTCTATTCTCCCCAGAATTCATTGAATAAATATAAGTGTCTAATTATAAAAAGAACTAGAACAAACAAAAGATAGGAAAATATTATGTACATATGAGTCAACAGTTTGAAATGGATTATTAATGAAGTAAATTCCGAACCATCTGGTTTTCCAATCTTGATTAAATTAGGGTGTAATCAGTATGACTGGATCAGCTGTGGAATATACAAACCAGTTACATATAAATGAGTCATGTATAATAATTGTCTACATATTTAAAATGAGAACTTTGTGTACTGAACCACTAGGAAATACACAGAACATAGATATCTATTCCCCTAGTTTTTCAATGCAAATTATCGTTAGGAATATTCCATCACTTAATGTTTATAGGAATCTGCTTTCTTTTTAAAATGATGAAGCACTTGTTCATACATTTTAAATTTCTATTCTTCACTCCATGAGAGACAAAGACAAAAAAATGAGTTACATTGCTCTCATATAGCTTATACACCCTCCCCCCCCCCCACCCACCGCCCCAGGAAGAAAAGAGCCTCACATGGAATATCAGTGAACACTATAGAACAATTCCAAAACAAGTTCCAGGAATTTTGTAATGATTCATTCCCTACATAATTTTCAGAGTTTAATGATCATTCCTGCACAAAATTTGATAAAGTGTGTGTGCAGAGTTGCTGTTTTCAGTGAATAGTTTGAAGCTCTATAGGTTTGGCTCTAGATAAAAGTTTACATTTTATTTATTCATCTTTAAATTTTAACGTCAGCACCTAGAAAGCGTGTGGCACGTTATCGGTGTTCGATCAATGTTGATTAAATGAAAAAATCAAGGAGTGTGAATCCCTCTCAGCTGAGAAGACATCCTCCCATCCATCACAGCTCTGCAGGCCTCTGGAGTTACACTTCCCAGTTGCCATGGTTGCTTATGGCTTAAGCTGCAATATTGTTAACGCTTTCAGCATTAGTAGTAATAGTGTTTGTTTTACAGTCATTATCCATCTCCCTGTCAGAAGCCTCAGACATCTCATTGAAAGAGTGGGCGCTGCGAGGGCTGCCCAGAACCAGGCCCAGAAAGGATCTTTTGCCCAACATTATAAGGCTTCTGTCTATGCTCCAGGAAATGTGTTTCTGCTTTGTCTTTCCTGACACCCCCCCAACCCCCATCTAATTTAGCCTGTTGTTTAGCTTGTGTACATTTCTGGATTCCTGGAGCTGTGTCGAGGCTCACTCTGGCTGTTTGATGTCCTGGAATCCTGCCTTTGGAATCTTCTCTTGTCCCCTGCTTGTGCTGTGCCACGTATTGAACCGTTTCTGATTATTTCTTTTTCTTTACCTAATCTTAATGATTGACCATGTATTGACTATATGGAGCTATTTTTAGTCTAGACTGCCTCTTCTATAGTCTATCTTTAGATTCTAAACATGCCTCAAGCAAGTCCTTAGGTGGGCCCAAACTACCTATACTCATACCAAAAAGACAAGTGTGAGGGTAAAGAAACAGACAAAAGGCTTCTAACTTAGTTTAGATGTAGGGACCTAGGTATCCTTCATGGAGCAGACCATTTCCTAAGAAATGACAGACCATAAGAATTCAGATTTAAGGAGTTCTTTGTAATTAATACAAGTGGTAAGCAGATAATAATGTAGTTTCTTTGGATCATATTAGGACCAGGAAAATGTGGCCTTCCAATTTTGTTTGTTTCTTTGTTTGTTTTCCATGGCTATCATCTACTCAATAGCAAAGTGATTCTCTATACATACTCATACCATAAAACTATATGTATAAATATGTTCCTGCTAATGACCCACAATACAAATATTTTATATTATTTTTAAATACATCTTTTTTTTTGTTTGGGGGAGTTTGTGTGTCCCCTACTTTCACAATCGTCTCAGATACGATATGGGTTGTAGGGGAAAAAGACCCGCATCATGATGGTCAGCAGCATATAAGGGAAACCCAGAGAGAACAATACAATGTTCCTTTGAGAAATGCTGTATCTGCAAAGCTGTTGATAGCATGGAAGAGAATATTATGCACGAAAATTTGAACAATGGCTATGTAAGACAGTGAATAAGAAGAGGCAGAGTTGGAATGAAAACATGTTTTGGGTGCTGCTTACTCAATTGTATATTTATGTTTCCTTTCTATGCATAATCAATAATGATGCTTGATTTAAAAGACTAAGTCTAAACAAGTCTAAAAGAGTTCTTTAAAATAAAGTAAAACTTACAACTAAAGGAGGATTTGTCATTATTTAATTGGAATCTTTTTTAATGTTATATGGGGCAACAAGACAAAGGCATTGGCCACGCTAGTGGCTGTCTCTACAGAACATTTGGCAGCCCTTCAAAAAATGGTGTGCCCTGAGTAAGGAGGCCTTAGCCTTCTATACTCAGATCAGGTCATTGAATGTGAGCTGCCCTGGGGCAGGTGAACCATGTGTGATGTGCCACTATGGAACAGCAGACCTCCCTTCTTGATGATCAGGGACAATTCTGCCTGGAAGGTGGTTCTCCTCTTATCAGCTACACTCATGGTGTGAGGATCCAGAAATGACTGGATTAGGACTCTTGCTCAGTTTCCTTGTGAAAGCATTGTCTCTCTCACAACAGATCTCTAAATCTGAAGATTTAGGCCTCTAGATCTGATTTGCCCAGAGTTGTTCAGATAAGATGCAACTTTCTACAAGTGGACCACTGGGAGTAATGGTGAGCATCATCATCACCTCTGCCTCCTACCCCTTGGTTCCTGGAACCATGTATGCTACCTACTGGGAATACCTTATAATTATGATTGATTGATTTAGGACACACACACACACACATACAGACACACACATATGAAATAATGCATATTTACAAATATATTTATTATATATATTTGTATACATATACATTTATATATGCATATGTATAAATATATGTATACATACAAATACATATTGTAATGTATACAAATATATGTATATGCATGTAATGTAATAATATAATGTACAAATTATAATTATATAATTTATAAATGCATACATAATTTATAAATGTAAATATTTATTAAAATATACATTTATCCCTCTCCATGTAGGATGTCTTCTCATCTTTGCCAAGTATCATCTAACCTGGAGCCCAGGTTATACCTTAATGAGGTCATCCCACATCTCAACATGCTATAAGGCCTGCAGCTTCTGAAAGGTAGGTTATATGGGAGGATCATTGGCCCCCATGTCGTACCTCTGTGTCTTTAAAGTGGGCTCCTTAGCTCAGTCAGATGTGATGCAAGATCCTATATTTGTGTGTCTGACACTGACATGGATAGTGGTGCTGGCAGACGCACAAAGAGAAATATTATTTCCAGGTTGGAAGGGGTATAATTGGATCTACTTACCACCAAGTGGCTTATTGATCTTGAGGAAAAATATCATATGAAGTTGTCATCTTTGCTCTTTGTTGGTGGCAGGATAAACAGTATACACTTGCTATAAACTTACAGGTCTGTCTTCTTGAGGATCTAGCCTATTCTTTCTCCAGTGGGTTCTAGGTCTAAAAACTGGCTTAAATTCAGAAGGTGTGACATTTTATTGGGATTGCTATGTAGTTTTCTGATCATCCAATCCTTATTTATTTTGATTGTATGGATTGACTAACGTCCTTATTTTGTGCCTATCAGCCTTGCCCCTATATTCTCTTTACTATTTACATAGCTAGCAATCTGTGAATCGAGCTTTCCTAGCTGCCAGGCCTAACCTTGCTGCCCATTTTGATATTCATTCCCTTTTTTTCCACACACTTGGTTCTATTATGTTAGAGTCCTACCATCAACATTGCAAATTCAACAAACTCGGTTCTGTTACAGTTTCCCCTACCGTTAGCCTGACCTACAAGAGTACAACCATTCTTGATCTTCACTAAGGTACCCACAATGCAACTCCCACTAGCATATGTTTTATCACTTTATGAAATGGGATGTCATCTAGGCTCCTCTGGAAGCATAATCAGTTGCTGGGTTTTCTGGCCTCACAAAGTATAGTGATTTGAGCATCCATTCTTACTTTTATTAGCCTTTCTGACCCCTTTTCTATTGTCTACCAAAGTAGCCAGTGATATATCTGCTATACTTAATATGGTACATTGCTTTCTCCAAGATTATAACAGGTAGTTTAGCAGTATTAGCTCCCCAAGATATTAAATCCTGGGTATAAATCCTTATATTGGAAGAACACTCTCAAATCAATAAGCTTTTCATTTTCTACCCCTATTTTCCACCCACCTTACTACAGCTGCATTGGGATCTAATATTATATAGACTTTCAGAGCTCCTTCCAGTATGTGTGGACTAGGTTCTGCAGCTCCTTTGGGATATAGACCCTTTTTTCCCTCAGAACGCTTGGCACTTCCTTAATTGAATTATGTTGTAATGTGCCCAAAGTTAGCAGTCAAATAGAGATCAGAAGAGGAAGTGAGGTTAGATCCTATTGTCTTTACATTATCTCTAATTGAGGCAGGAATTCTGGCCTCTAAGAGAAAAGAGTGACTTACTTTTGCATACCTAATAGGTTTAGGGAGATGCAAAGTTTCAAGATTTCCAAGAATACTAAGTCAGGTGTTCACACCCTCAGTCTCAGTGTCCCACTTCTCAATCAGAACCATGACCTTGGTGAAACACTCTGGCTAGGGTTGAGAATTCATCTTTTTTTTCCTGGAGCTCTGCTATTCCTATGATCTTCCTCTAAATGTGGGAGATAAGTATCTCTTTTTATGCTGCCAAAGAGTCACTTTGACTTTTAGCCAGTATTGCTAAAGCATCTGTAATTGATGATTAATCACCCTCAGCCTTTCATTTTCTTCCTCCAAAGCATCAATGGCACTCGACATAGCTGTCTGATTCCATAGTCCTTATAATTAGAATGTCCTAAACCTCTTGAAGGCCTGAGATATTGCATCCACCAGTACAGTGCATTGCCCTGATGTCTTATAATCAATTTTCCACCAATAAATGTTTTAACAACTGTACTGGTACAGCATGCCAGGTGTTATTAGGGCTCTACCTACTACCAGTGATGAGGTCCTTATTGTCTGCCAGTCTCCAAATATTCTTAGAGACTGATTCATCAGATAATTCTTGGCACTGAGTGTATTAGTTCAGGTTCCCTGGAAACAGACTTTGCAATAGAGACACGCATGCAAGACTACCATAGGCAGTAGTATTGGGGATTATCTTTACCCCAATACATAGTGGATGAGTAAAGAAGTAGGATTGGGCAGAGGGAGGAGGTGAACTGATATGGTCACAGAGGGCTTAGTTGGTCCATGGGAAGTTGGGGTGTTTAGATTGACCTACCTTGAGGCAAGTCCACCACTGTCCTACCACATCCATATTTGTTTCCAAGAACAATCCTAGTTTTCTAGTACCAGTCTTTGGATATGGACTTCCCTGGAGAAAGGGGCATGACTAGACGATTGGGTTCTCTCAGCCTGAGAGTTATGCCTCTAGAGGTGCTCAGCTGAGAGCTGTCAGCCACTAAATGGGGCAGCTGGGTGATACACTGCTCAATCCACTCAACTACCTATGACATTTCATTTCCATCTGCCTTCTCCTTGGTGTTTGCCTAGATTGCTATTTCAGTGTTGTCCTTAGTACTACTCTCTTGCTCCCAAGTGGCTCTCCATTTTGCCCATTGCAATAATCACCCAGCTGCAATGACTCACATACCCACTCCCTCTTCTCTTGCTCCTGGATGGCAGAGTACTGTTGCAGCAGATGTAAAACTATGCAGACCTGTCCCGGTACAAATTCATGCTGTGCAACTGCAGTTACATTTTCACAATTATAAGCACAAACATATGAAATCACCTCAGGCAATGCTTTGACAGCTCCCTAGGGTATTGCTCAATTCTGAAGAACACTATGAAATAGCTTAAAAAAAAATATGCTTGACTACCCAGTAGCAGAATACACAGACAGAACTAAGCCAGGCCTCAAGCAAAGTAAATTCCTTCTCCAACTGCTTGACAATGTTATGAAATGGTAATGAAAGTTATGCATAACTAACAACTTAAAATTCATACCTACTGAAATATTTCTCAGTGTAATAAATAGTGTTAAATTCATTGTGTAAAACTACGGTAACAAAGAAAAGACATCTTTAAATTCTTGTTTCCCTTTCACCTTGGAAATTACTTCAGAAGAGAATATGAGAAGGTATAATTTCAGTCAGAAATACTATTGAGCACCTACTATGTGCCAGGTACTAATCTAGGAATAGAGACGTGCCAGTAAGAAAACTGCCAGATCTTGCTGAAATTGCAGTATTTTCCTCTTGTCTTCAGTTATTTCCTTCTCTCCCCCATCTCCTCGCCTCCCTGCTTCTCCTTCCTCTGTCATTGCTGCATTGTCCAACTGGCCCAAACCTAGTTCAGCTCAAGCATAGTCTCCTCTTCTCTTCCTCTGCCTCCTGTAGCCACTTCACCTTTTCCATATTTCTTCCTTCTCTTTCCCTTTCTTTTTTACCACCTCTTGTTTACACTAGTGTTTAAATTCCTCAATAACCAGAACAATCATATTATTCTGTGTATCTCAAGCATATTGCACAGTGAATTTTGACTTATGTGTTTTTAATATATGAAAGACTTTGTATATGTTGATAACCTATGAGGACAAAAATGTGAATTGATGTTCCAATAATTACAGCTAGGTATCAGTTTTTGTTTGGTAATTATTTCTCAAAAAGTAAGAAAATTCAGGGGCACTTGAGCAGCTCATTCAGTTCAGTGTCTGACTCTTGGTTTTGGCTCAGATCATGATCTCACAGTTCATGAGTTTGAGCCCTGCTTCATGCTCTGTGCTGACAATAGAAAATACATTTTATTTCACTTGCCACATTCAGTAAATTGGTAATGATTTTCCAGAGTACCAACTTGAGAAGAACCTCAGCTGTGCCCAGCCTCAGAGGGAAGGATTATCATGACTCATTATCTCAGTCTGCTGTGAGCTCCTGAGAAGGGATATTACCATTTCTATCTCCCTTCCCCACCCCTCATTCTCCCTCTTTCTCTCTCTCTCTCTCTCTTTTCCTCTCTCCCTTTCTCTGCTTTCCTCCCCCTCTTCCTTTTCCTCTTTCTTACTCATTTACTTTTTAGGATTTGTATTATTATTATTACAGTAGTAAAAAAGAAAAAAAAACCCACAATGTTTAGATGATGCAGATTTCCTAATTTCAAAGAATTCAACTGAGAAAAAAAAATTTTCCTGGTAGAAAGTTTTAAAAGAAATTTGTATTGTACATCTTTCTTTAATAGATATAAAATAATGCAGCCACAATTAACTGTAATTTTCTAGAATACACGGACATTTTCATCAATTGACTTTCCTTGGTCTTCTTTTCTCTTATATATTTTCCCTTGGCTTTATTTCAGTAGCTGCCCCTCCCACCCCACAGCCATGCTCTAAACTTTATCATCACTAAAAGCATCTATATCCACAAATTTTGAGCTCTGAGAATCTCAGGCCACAGTCTCCCATCCCTCCACCTCTCTCACTTTTACATTTTTCTAAACTGCTGGTTTGAGTTCTTCTCTTTTCCAAAAGTCTGCCACTCTCTACTGACTTTATTTCCTTCCTAGTCCACCTAGAAACTCTAACTTCACACTCTGGTCCTTGTCCTCACATTATCTTTGCCCATCCTCTCCATTAAAAATGAATGAGCACTTAGTAAATATATTCCAGCGAGTTGAAAGCAATTTCATTCATACCCTTTCTTTTTCATTTCACATATAACATGATACCAAAGAAATAATCAATGGCAAAAGACAAGTAGATAGAAAATGTTTGTAGATTTTTTTTTTAATTTTTTTTTCAACGTTTATTTATTTTTGGGACAGAGAGAGACAGAGCATGAACGGGGGAGGGGCAGAGAGAGAGGGAGGCACAGAATCGGAAACAGGCTCCAGGCTCTGAGCCATCAGCCCAGAGCCCGACGCGGGTCTCGAACTCACGGACCGCGAGATCGTGACCTGGCTGAAGTCGGACGCTTAACCGACTGCGCCACCCAGGCGCCCCGGATAATGTTTGTAGATTAAAGAAAAAGAAAAATTATGTACAGTTTTAATGAAATCTTGCATGGCATTAATTAACACTACCAACACTCTGTTTTTATTATCATAGATCAGGTCTTCTTAAACATGGAGTGTTTTTCATATTCAACAGTGCCCCAGATCTATCTTTTTTTAATCTTAATATTTGTCTATCAATATTTCTCAATCTGTTGTCAAGACGATGAAAGATACAGCACAGGTTGATGACTCAGTGTAGCTGATAACATTCATTTGAACTCTAAATATGATAGTTTAGAAACAGATATGATACTCATTCTACAAATTCCCAAGTGCTAGACATTTAACTTCAGTTTTGTAAACTTGAACTAAAATTTCTAAAATTTCATGATGAAGCCCTCATTTTGTTGGTCATGAAAACTTGAGTTCAGGCAAGAATTTCTCCCCACTCTCCTTTTCTTTTAGACCATAATGAGAGCCTCACATAATGTAGCAGTCACTGGGGAGGGGTTGGGAATTCCTACCATTGGATCTTTTATGGTGTCCATCATTGAATATCATTTCACCCAGTTCTAAGTGCTGCTTTACACAGTATTTCTCAAGTGCCATATTCTCCTCTGTTGAAAAATGCAAGATCTTTTCAGGATTCTCTCTCTTTGTTGTCCTACCTTCTTAGATAACAAAAGAAAAATATAGTGTTCCCAATCTACTTGGGAGCTGAAGGAAAGAGTGAAGTTGTATAAAGCTCTTCATTACCTTCATGTTAATCTTGCCCACAGTATTATACATTCCATGGCTATTTGCAGCACATTGGAATTTGAATGACTTCTATGACAAGATTTCTCAACCTTGCCCTATTGACACTTTGGCTAGATAATTCTTTGTGGTCTTTTGTCCTGTAAGGAGACAGTATCCCTGGCCTGTACCCACTAGAATCTTCCCATCCCATCCACCATTACTACTATGGGTCATTACAATTAGAAAGTCTCCAGTCATTGGCAGTCACCCCAGTTGGGAACCACTGCATTCTAAGTATGTATTTGACTCACCTGCCTCCATTTATTTTCTGCTGCTCCTGACTGGTTC